CTACTGTGATTAATAAGTTATGAATGCATATTAATTCTTATCAGACATCATCTACTTTTATTAAAAATTGTTTCTAACTATTCAAATGAAGTATATTTACCACCACCACCCTCTCACTTGTAGAAAATATTTCATTAAATCCTAGGATTTTCTTACTACTTAAGCAATCAAATTGAGGTATAACATTTAATATTCATGATAATAAGATGAGCTCACGCCTTTCAGAAGAATAGTCTGGGTTTTGAAAAAAACACATTTTCGTCTATATCCTCTTACAGCAAATATATCTGACATAGGCACATCTTTTAGTTGGTTTTAATTGGATCGAGTAATTTGAGGTTTTGTAACCACTCACTCCCAGCATGTAGGACCAAGAAGAGAGCGTTACGCATCTGAAACGGTGATAATGATAGTTGCTTAATGACACGTGCTTACATTAAGTAGCTGAAGGGCATACGGGGCGGGGCGGCCGAGCGGACTAACGCGTATGCACAGCACCACTAGCGGATCCAGGATTTAATTTTGTGGGGGGCTTCAGCCCGAAAGCTTATTTTTTCATAAAAATAACAATAATTACTTTGGTAAATAAGAAAGAAACTAACTACCAATATGAACTGGTGTTTAAGTGATTCCTAAAGCCCTTTTAAATGTAATTACACGAATAATTGTACTTTAAGAGATAATTTTTTAATATTTTTTTTGCGATAAAACATGGTTATATTTTACCATTTTGGGAGGGGGACTTCAGCCCGAAAGCCCCCTCCCCCCCCCGTAGTGCACAGCACCGCGCGTTGCCTGGCAACCTGATAACCGAAGTTATAATTGCAAAATTAACTACGAGTTCGTATCCCGTTGCCGAGGGGGGTTTTTAAGTCTGGTACTAATCCCTGGCCGGTTAAATAGCCTAAAAGACAAGGAAGAGGAGAACTTATGTGAAATTAAAGCTGACAAAATTTTTCAATAGAAATGGTTATATTATTTTTTTTTGCTATATTGTATAGTTTCCGTGAAACCCGTCCAATTCACTAATTTCGAAAAACAAATTTTTTTTGCATAGCATTTGTATCTTTATTTGACTCGCCAACTCTTAATTTTTTGATTTTACGAAAAAGTCATGAGGTAGAAAGTTGTTTAATATTAAATTTTCTTTAAGAATATATATTTGCTTTACTAATTTATCTTTAACCATTCAAAGGCTAGAGAAATTTTAAGTTAATCATCAAACTGCAAAACTATACAGAAAAACTAATTTTCCGCAAGTTTCGATATTACACAGCTTTTAGTCTGTATATAAGACAACATACATGCGTACACATTGGCTCACGGGCGGATCTACGGGAGGCCTTTGGGGCTGAAGTCCTTCCCCCTCCCAGAATGGTAAAATATAACCATGTTTTATGAAAAAAAATATTAAAAAATTATCTTAAAGCTTAAAGTATTATTGTTCGTGTAATTAAGTTCTTTAGGAATCACTTAAACACAATTTATATAGGTATTTAGTTTTTTTCTTTTTTTCCAAAGTAATTATGGTAATTTTTATGAAAAAAAAGCTTTTGGCTGAAGCCTCCCCCGAAATTAAATCCTGGATCCCCTTGTGCATTGGCTTAAATAATACACACACACACACACACACACACACACACACACATATATATATATATATATATATATATATATATATATATATATATATATAGTCTTATATACAGATTAAGACCTGTGTAATAACGAAAATTGAGAAAAGTAAGTTATTCTATATAATTTCGATGTTTAGTCATTAAATTATAATTACTCTAACCTTTGAATAAGCCTTTATCTAGGTGTCAGTAGTTATTTTTAGATCTAGACATTTCTCCTTCTATAATAATATATTCATTATTATATAATACTAGAGGGGGTAATTTATTTATATGTATAGGGGGTATTTTTATTTATATGCATATAATATAATATATTATATTGTCATATAATTATAATTACTATGTAATAGAAAAGGAAGTTCAATACAACTTAAATGAAAATATTATAAATAAAAGGCTCAAATTGGAGTTGAGCTGTATGAATTCCGACAAGTTGAATAAATATTGCGGTTTCAGATTGACAATAAGAATAAGAATTATAATTATATAATAATATAAATTGGCAATAAGGTGCGATGTATTATATAGATTTTTAAAGAAATTAAAAACTTAAATGAACAGTTGTATAATTTGTAAAATGGAGGCTAGTCTGAGGTGGACAGGGAATACTCTCCTAGTATTTAAAAATTATTGAAAGTCGTTTTCGGCATCTATAGTTCATAAAGTTTCTATTTAAAACAAGCCAATAATTTTGAGTAGATACAAATTTGCTCCTAACAGGTATGTTAAAGCAGGAAGTAAAGATATTTTCAAAAGATAGAAGATTAGATTTTCAGAAACAAATTGAGAAATTTATATATTAATTTTAATGTTGAATATGTTGTTTACTAACCCATTTGCATTTTTTTTTCCATTTCGTTAATTAGTCATTAAAATGGTCTCATATTGTGTTTTTAATTAGTATTAATTTATGCTTTACTACCTTTTTTTACATTATATTTACTTTTCTACTTTCATTTACTTTTTATAAAATTTATTATTGTGAATTAATTATCCTTTTTATATACAATCACCTACTGCTGTTATTATTTGTTACTAATTCGAAGTTTGTATTGTTTTGACATTTGAGAAAAAATAATATGAAAAACAAAAACCAAGAAATAAAAAGTATATATATATATATATATATATATATATATATATATATATATATATATATATATATATATACTTTTTATTTCTTGGTTTTTGTTTTTCATATTATTTTTTAATTATATACGTCCATACAAATTTTTTTAATTGCATATTATATGCAATATTTTGAGGATTTTACTGCATAAAAATCAGATTTTTTTACAGGCCTTGTCTATAACACAACTTTGGGAGGAGTATTTATTGGATATAGCAATTGTTTGGATTATAAACTTTTGACTACAATAGAATATAAGATACTGACATCTTAAGTGTGACTGAATAACCCCGAATGTAGCTTTATATTGCCCTCTGGTTTGAAACTTTTCAATCTGAAAGTTCATAACCCCATTGAAATGTGACCCCTCAAACACACACACACACACACGCACACACACACGCACACACACACACACACACACACACACACACACACACACACACACACACACACACACACACACACACACACACATACACACACACACACACACACACACACACACACATACACACACACACACACATATAGTCTTATATACAGATGAAGACCTGTGTAATAACGAAAATTGAGAAAAGTAAGTTATTCTATATAATTTCGATGTTTAGTCATTAAATTATAATTACTCTAGCCTTTGAATAAGCCTTTATTAAGGTGTCAGTAGTTATTTTTAGATCTAGACATTTCTCCTTCTATAATAATATATTCATTATTATATTATACTAGAGGGGGTAATTTATTTATATGTATAGGGGGTATTTTTATTTATATGTATATAATATAATATATTATATTGTCATATAATTATAATTACTATGTAATAGAAAAGGAAGTTCAATACAACTTAAATGAAAATATTATAAATAAAAGGCTCAAATTGGAGTTGAGCTGTATGAATTCTGACAAGTTGAATAAATATTGCGGTTTCAGATTGACAATAAGAATAAGAATTATAATTATATAATAATATAAATTGGCAATAAGGTGCGATGTATCATATAGATTTTTAAAGAAATTAAAAACTTAAATGAACAGTTGTATAATTTGTAAAATGGAGGCTAGTCTGAGGTGGACAGGGAATACTCTCCTAGTATTTAAAAATTATTGAAAGTCGTTTTCGGCATCTATAGTTCATAAAGTTTCTATTTAAAACAAGCCAATAATTTTGAGTAGATACAAATTTGCTCCTAACAGGTATGTTAAAGCAGGAAGTAAAGATATTTTCAAAAGATAGAAGATTAGATTTTCAGAAACAAATTGAGAAATTTATATATTAATTTTAATGTTGAATATGTTGTTTACTAACCCATTTGCATTTTTTTTTCCATTTCGTTAATTAGTCATTAAAATGGTCTCATATTGTGTTTTTAATTAGTATTAATTTATGCTTTACTACCTTTTTTTACATTATATTTACTTTTCTACTTTCATTTACTTTTTATAAAATTTATTATTGTGAATTAATTATCCTTTTTATATACAATCACCTACTGCTGTTATTATTTATTACTAATTCGAAGTTTGTATTGTTTTGACATTTGAGAAAAAATAATATGAAAAACAAAAACCAAGAAATAAAAAGTATATATATATATATATATATATATATATATATATATATATATATATATATATATATATATATACTTTTTATTTCTTGGTTTTTGTTTTTCATATTATTTTTTAATTATATACGTCCATACAAATTTTTTTAATTGCATATTATATGCAATATTTTGAGGATTTTACTGCATAAAAATCAGATTTTTTTATAGGCCTTGTCTATAACACAACTTTGGGAGGAGTATTTATTGGATATAGCAATTGTTTGGAATATAAACTTTTGACTACAATAGAATATAAGATACTGACATCTTAAGTGTGACTGAATAACCCCGAATGTAGCTTTATATTGCCCTCTGGTTTGAAACTTTTCAATCTGAAAGTTCATAACCCCATTGAAATGTGACCCCTCAAAACTTCAAAACCTCCTCAAAATGTGCTCTCCTCAAAAATTTTGATAGCGCAACTAGCGCCATGAAACCCCCTTATGGTCACCTCTGATTGTTATAAGATATGAAAACTGATTTAATTTGCAGAGATTATGGTGGGAAGTAGTCCCAATTCTTTTCCTAATTGTTATTAGGACTCTCTTTATTATAACTGGCTTGACATTCTAAATTAAATGGTAATAGGTAACACTTGTAAACTAAAAAAAAATTCACATTTTAGTAAAAATCAGAATCTAGAACTCATCCATAAATTTATTATAACATTCATATAAAATAATTATTGACATATTTATTAAAATTTTAAAAGGCACAATTGGTCCATTTGGTCCCAGTACTTTAGGATTAATAAACTATCAATAATCCAACAAAATATTCTTTGAAAAAATTAACAAAACATTATATCACATCTAAAGTGTTGAGCTGAGGTTTTGTAGTAGGTTTGCGATCCACCAATGGTAGAGACTCCAGCCTTACTGGTTTTCGAGCAGGTGAATCTGAAATCAGAGAAAATTCCAGCTGAACGGCTAAACATTAAAAAAAGCTAAACAAAAACTAAGGTAATATAAAAAAATGTTACAACATACTTACAAATGATCAACTTTAAGAAATTCATTCATATATATTTTTGTGGAATTATGTTAAATATTTAAAAATTAATATATTAGCAGTATAGTCAAGATTGAAATGGAAATAAAATTAGTACAAATTTATAAATAGAAAAAAGGTAAATTGAACCATGAAAATACTTAAGAACCTAAAGTATCTTCAGGAATATTTTTCAGAATTCAAGTTTCAATTTTTAAAATATTCAAAGCAATATAATTTTAAAATGAAACACATTTTTCTGGTCTGCTCTGCTCTGATTAACTATATACCTCAGTGCTTGGATCTATAATTCACAATCCAAAATTTTTTAACTTCAATTTTCTAATCCTTTTGCATTTCTATGTTTTAATGTACAACTACAAAAAATTACACTATAACTTAAAAAAAAAAAGAAAGGTTAGTCGCAGATATATCTTCTTGATTGAAATTTCATCAATCCTTTTAGGGAAACTTCAAATGTAAAATATCTTCTGTAACTTCTTTTTCTTGATTTTGACTGTTAGTCAACTCATCTTAGTCATTAAAGAGAGAAAGATGTTCTAATGAATTTAAGTCAGGTGTATAAATTACTAACCATAAACTAATAGTACTCTATATATAGAGTTTATATTGTAAATTAAATTGAAGTTTCACATGGAAATATTGATGGAATAGAAATATTTTAGCCAACCACTGCAGAAAATATGAAAAAATTATATTTTTTATCTCAAATATATCAAATTATAGAGAATTGGTAGAGTAATCTAGAATATTGTCCTCTGCATATTATGATAAAAATATCATAGTGCACATCGGCATATAATCGGTCCGGTTCTTATTTCTTGGTTGTTCTCTTCTGAGGGATAACCTTTTAATTTAATTTTAAAACATAGTTTATTTATTTGATGTTTTTTAACATTGCATCAACTGCCTGCCAGGGTCATTAGAGACGATCTTTCTTCTTAGATATAACTTATTAATTTTATTTGTCGAATGTACTTAAGTGTTTTTTCAATACAACTGTTTTCTTTGATTGATGCTTTGTCATCAATTTGCTGTTTCCGGAATTTTTGGCACTGGAATATGTGTTCAACTGTCGGATTAGTATTTTCAGATGCCTCTCACATGTTCATCGATGTTGGCCAAGAAGTAGGTGGAAATGGGTCAGTTTGGTATGTCCAATTCTGATCCCACTTATTGTAGAACATTCTTCTGATGTCAGGGATTTGGAGGATATTAAGCTCGATTTTCGTCTTTAGTCAGATGAAGGTGATTGAGTGGCAGTAATCTCCACTGTGCATTCCAACTGTCGTTCACTTTCTTTGTAATTTCTCTTGTCCACTGGTTGAGAAACATTGATTCTAAAACAGGTGAATCAATGCTTCTGGCGGCTTCCTTTGCTCCCTCATCGGCTCGCTCATTGCCAATTATGCCAGTGTGTGAGGGTACCCAAAACAATATTATTTCTTGACTATTTTTAGTTAGTTTAAAGTTCATAAGTTGAATTTTTTTATGCGATGTGTTACATGTCCATGTATTTTGCTCTCCCTTGATTACAGGTAAGGAATTGTTCATAATGCCTGATTTTTCAATATGGGTGTTGATTGCATATTCAAATGACTTGAGAATCGCCCACGTTTTGCTTGTGAAAATAGAATTATGGTTATTTAATTTCCATTCATTTATATTGTTTTGGGTTATGATACAGCATCCAACACCTTTCTCTGATTTTGAACCGCCCGTGAAAATTATTTCATGATCATGAAATAATTTATTGACTATTTTATAATACTTATATATAATTTTAATAGGACTATTTCAGCAGTCTGATTTTTACCAAATATGATTTTTAATTTATCCTTAAGAGTGTTTTAATATATGTAATGTAGTATTTAAGGAATGAATTTGTATTTCCATAAGGATAATAATGTTCATTATTTTGTGATAGACTCCATTTGTATAGGGTTCTTCTCTAAAAACAAATATAGATTAAATAAATAAAAAAATTGGAGTTTCACAGAGCATTTTCCCTTCAAGGAAAGATGTTTCAGTTTCTCACTAGAATGTCATCTGGAATCTGCTTAATCCATTAGTTGATTTTCCTGGCAATCAACGAATAACCTCTCCTTGTGTAAAAAAATTATCGAAAACATTTCAAGTGTTCAAGTACCTCACAGGTCTATATGTACAACATAAACCTGTTGAGTGATTTTTCAATTTGTCAAAACTTTTATGTACTAAATGATTGAAGCATTGTTGATGTTCAATATACAGGATGTCCCATGACTAATGTTTCATAGTTCAAGGGCGCATTGCTCACATTTAAAGAAAAAGAAAGTTTAACAAACATATATCCATAAATGCTTTCTAAAAAAAATACTATCATTGAAAGTTGATATGAATATGTGACACATCTTAATTGTGTTTACATTTTTATTAGTGTGGTATTTTTTACATTTTTTGTTCATCTCATTTTCTGTTAGTTTAGTATCATTTACATTTACTGTCAGTCTAGAAGCGTTTATGTTCTGTGGATTTCATTTTAGATTTTCTTTATAGTATGGATCTTCAGATTGGGTACACCCTGTATAAAAAAGCTCCCTATTATATTGTTTCTTTGTAAACTTTAAATAAATTTAGATTCAATTGACTATTAATAATTAATTAAATGATGAGAAATTAATAATAATTATTACTGAGGAAAGCTAACTCCAATAATACATACCAATCCATCCATTCAAACTTGAAGGTGGACCACTCCATGAATTATTCAGGAAGTTATTGTGAGTCTGAGTTTTCAGGGATGACAAGGTATTGATTGCATTTAAAGAACCTTGGAGGTTGATTCCTATTCCCTTATTGCCATACATGAAATCTACAAAATTTAAGTTTTAAAAAAAAGTGTAAACATTTAACAATAATCAGTTATATTCTTTATAAATAAATACCTACTGTTAGCTCTGGCAACATCTTGGTGTGCCTTCGTAAGTAATTCCATAGCTCGTTTTGGCTTGAAGTAGTTCCCTGCAAAATCTTCTTCTTCACTTTTTTCAAGTTTCTGTAATAATACTAATGTGTAAACAAAAATTAAAAACAACACAGTCCTTTGTATTCCTAAGGACTTTGGCTGTCAGTATTGGCTTTAGACTTTGAATTCATTAAATTATTTGAGATATTTATAAAAGTTAGATATTTATAAAAGTTAGTCAAAATTAAAATAAAATAATACTATTAAGATACATGAGGAGAGAGGAGAAGGTGGTACACCTACTTAACTAAGCTCCTAATTTTGAAAACTGAGTTCCAACTTTCCAAATTTAAAACTTTCTGTTCATCAGAAAAACATTTGTAAAAAAAAAAATAAATCAATAATTTTATATAAATATATATCTTAATTTAATATATTATTCAATGTGAAAATTTGGGTATAAAATAAAATGCTGAAATATTGGAGATCATACCAAAGGAAGAAAAATTATGCTGCACTTTATATACCTAATGCCGAAGCAGAAGAAAATCCTACAAGACTGTGAAGAATTTTTTTTTTTGTCGTTTAGAACTTTAAGAAAGGAGGTAGCAAAGAAACTTTGAAAACCACCAAGGTATATCTCTCTTAAGCGTTTCATATAAAAAAAATAAAAACCTGTACCACTACAACCCATAAGGGTCTTGGGTTCAGTACTGTTTAGGAAAAGTACTGTTTGAAGGCCATCGGTTGTGCAAGGAGGGGATCTGGCCAGGGTCACGCTCAACCGCCAGGTTTTCTCCCTTAATTAATTACATAATTAAGGTTTGTAGAGGCCGGGTGTGCCCCAGGAGGGTTCCCCTACCCCAGGGTCGCCCCACGGCCAATGAAACAGAATAAATAAATTTTCTGCCATAAGCCAGGATTCAAACCTGGGACCTTGAGCATTGGAAGCTTAGTGCCCTACCACTGAGCCACCCCGCTCCCCCAGTGTTTCATAAAAGATTCCAAAATCCTAGAAAAAAACACAATAAGAAAAGTCAAATGGATTGCTCAAATTCATGAAAATTGGTGCATCCAGTATTTTATTTTTGTAATGAGAAAGGTCTTCAATAAAGTACTAGAAGAAGATAAGCAAGCAATGAGCCCTATTGACCTTACCAAAGTCTTTGGCTAAGTATGAAAGACACATATCTTAAAAGCCTTAATAGAAAAAGGAATAGGATAAGGTTATATATGGTCGGAATTATACATAAGAAAATAAGAAATTTGGTTATATTTCCCAACTGAACTTCTATAGAAATTGAAACTACCATAAGAATGCGACAGAGCTGTAGTCTGAATCATCAATCTTCATTATAACATCGGTAGGTTAAAAGAAGAATAGCTGAAGATCAACAGGCTATTAAACCAATGATAAGAAAGGTAATGATGTCTGGGAAGAAGCTAAGGAGAATTAAGTTTGTTCATAATACTCCAAAACAAAACCCTAGATAAAATGGAAAACTGGAGGTACGCTTTAACGAAAACGGTTATATTAATTTGGGAGTAACTGAACCATTTTTTTGAATGTTTGAAGTGATTAAGAAAGGTTTCCTAATCAGGCAAGAGCTTAAAAAGAAGACAAAAATGGTTGTGTTCAGGTCAACAATTATTTTCATTCTGATGTATCCTTCGGAATCATGTGCCTTAATGAAGAAACATCAATTATGAATATAAGAGATTTATTCAAAATATTGAGGACAAAACAATAAAAGATAGAGTCTGCAACACTATTCTCAACTTAAAAATCATTGTTCAAAGCAGTGAATGATGAGAATAATCAACCAAGATAACTTGAATTTTTATATGGATGGAGCCTGGCAGCATTAATAGTGAGATTTATGAAACTTTGGCTTGATAGCCCAAAACCTCGAATTAAGGGAAGATGAAATAGGGAAAGACTTCAATAGAATAGTAGAAGGCAATTTGTGGAGGACAGACAGAGCTAGAGAAGGTATCTATAGACTTCCTTCTCACACAGCAGAAATGGTTCAAAGAGGATTTAATTCGATGATGATGATGACATAATCAAACAGATACAGGAAGACTAATTAAACATGTATGGATTGCTAAGTTGTGCCAATAAAACTTCAATACATCTAAATAGTTTAAAACTTCTTAAATGGTAACTGGTAGTTTGAAATATTCTATGAATATTAAATTACACATATTTTTGAAAAATGCATGGCATGCAACATTTAAAAATAATAATAATAAGTTAAATTTAAACTTTTAAGTGCCACAAGTTAGAAAGGAAGCAAAACATATGGGTCTTAAGGTAAATAAAAATAAAACCAAAATGTTGTTCAGAAGAAAACAGGATGTGGCCCCACTATAGCAAGTTAGAATGGGGGATTTTACTTTTGAGGTTGTTCCATGTTTCCAATACCTGGGATATAGATCCAGAATGAATGGAAGAGAAAACTGAAATAGGATGTAGATTAGTAGCTGCCAATAGAGCCTATTTCTCCCTAATTTTAGCCAAAATTATCAGAAAGATTATTATGTTGAACTATGCAAATAAGACTACACAAATGTCTTATAAGACGAATAGTGACTTAGGCCTGCGATACGCGGACAATCAATAAGGTAGTCACACAAGGGCTTGTTCGCTTCGAGAGGAAGATTCTGAGATTTGCCAAAGATAATGAAACTTGGTGTCTGTGCCGAAATTCAGAGTTGTATGGTGAATACCAGGATTTAAGTATCTCCAACTTTGCCAGGTTGCAGAGACTGAAATGGATTGGACACATCTGCAGGATGGAAGACTGAAGTTGTCCTCTAAAAACATACAGGAACATGCCAGGTTGGACAAGACCCAGATCACCCTGGCAGGATAGTGTCCACACAGAAATGAGATAGGCAGGGATGAGCACAGTACATGCTGCAGATAGGGTCATTTGGGCTAAAAAATTGAGCAGGCCAAGGGCCGCTTTATGCGTCTGTTACACCATTAAAGAAGAAGTGACACAGGACTGCTTAAAAACAAAAGAGATTTTGCCAAAGAATCCATTTTGCTATATTAAGCAGGTTATACTATAAAATTCTATAATAAACATCGATTTGAAGTCAATTACTAGTTTATTACTTTATAATTAAATCAGTTATTCCAGAATCGATACATACGGCATTTTTAAGATTTTGATAAAAGCTAAAAAAAAACTACTACAGCCATGTTTTAGTTGAATTTAAATATCATTATGCGTTCAAGATTTTTGAAAATTTTACACTTGGGTTTTTTCAGCTGTAAGTCAAATTTTGGTTCTTTTTCTCTAATTATAATTGCATCAATAATAATTAAAAGCTCAAATTATTACTTATGAAGAAAGAGAATATTTATTTTTATGTGCTTAGAAATGATAAGAAATTTAATAAATTGATTTAATACCGAAAAAATCTAGAAACGTTTCAAGAATTTAGAAACATATATGAATTTGATTATAAAAAAATTCATAGCCAACAATGTAGACTACAAATTTCTTGAGAGGAGTTTGTCTGATCTCGTAAATGAAAAAGATAATGACATACTATAATACACTGTAAAGAAATTGTATTATTGCCCCTGAGAAAATAATTTCTGCAGAAACAGCCCATACCCAGACCATCTAAATTAATATGTTTTGAACTGATCTTTTGAATGAATGAATTATGGAATAGTGTTTACTTAAGAATGAAAAATGTGTTTATAAACATTGTACACAAAACCACTCTCTACTTTTTACCTTTTACTACTTCCACTTTTTACAAAACTGCTAAAAATGACAAGTGTTATTTCTGAAATAATTGATTCAATTATAAATTATAAAATAAATAAATGTCTTGTGATTAATTCAGGAGAAAATAAAGCAAATAAAAAAGGTCTGCCACAATAATCAGTCCATAATGAATCCCATAACACTAGAGGAAAACAAGTGATCTGGTTAAAATCTTACCACATTTGGTAAATTCTTAGACAATTAATAAAATTAGAACCAACGAAAACATACAAACCAAAGAACATTATAAGGCATCACTACTTCAAAAAAATTAAATGGAAGATCAGTAAGTATAAGGCCCTTCAACATATAGTTCTACAAAGTCATACCAAGCAACTCAAAGGTGCAAAAATGCTGCAAGATAAAAATAACAAAATGAGTTATAGAAAAATAAATTTTTTATTTTTATTTTTTTTATTTTAATGAAATTTACAACTGTATTACATAGAAAATACAATAAGTAAATGTGACATTGGTAACATGACATGTACAACATGAAGAGAAACTACCCACTGGTAGAACTTAATAAAAATAAATTTAAAAAGGGATTTTGTATGGTTTATAGAATCCAGATAAGTCTTTTTACTGTATTACCTGGTTTAATTGGGAATAGCTCTTAAAAGCATGATGGGAGGGAATGAATTTCTTAGATTGGTATCAGTTCTATATTTATTTATCATCGCCCACTCATACATATCATGTTTTTTTAAAATGGAAAATTGGAATTAACAAATGTTGTTAGGGCAGTTACAAATGTTTGAGAAACTTAATGACATGAATACAAGACTAATCTGACAGGTAGTACGTGGAACTGCTATGACAAAATTAAAACTTTAAAATCCAAGCCTGGGACCGTTATGGAATATTGCTAAGAAAGTGTGAATATTACAAAAAATGCTGGTGAACTAGTGAATTTAAAGTGTTTTTTAAATGCACCTCAAAAGCTGGTTTCTTTACCACTTCGATGCTCACTCCATCTCGCCCTGAAGCATGCACAGTAACAAAACAAAGCCAAAACTATTTTAAACATCATTAGTAATCTCCATTGAAAAAAAAAATATTGCTTAAAGTTTTAAAAATTAAACATATAAAATGCTTGAATGGCATTGAGTGAGTCATGCACTGTACCCACCTTTCATTGAAAAAGTGCATAATTGTGATGAATTGTATTTTAAACATTTACAATTAATTTGAATAAAAATGAAATTATGAAGAGCATGTGTTAATGATTAATTAATATGGCATTGACCTGAGTCAGGGGATTGCCGCTTCTATCATTGCTTGCCTGAAGTCTACCTGGGGCTGTCTGTGAAGGTAACCTCCATGGAATTCCTACATAATTATCAATTACCAACCAAAATGTTCATTTTAAAATTTATAAGGCTCATCTTAATTCATTCCAATATATTTTTTTTTATTATGTGACAGCTATTTTATGTCATCAAATTTTTTTTTCTTTTTTGTCAAGCTATAAATATCTCATTCATTCAGAATTGGACCTGTAAGAACTATTGAAAGAGACAGTTATAGATCCACAAAAAATATATAAATAAACCTGATTATATGAAACAGCTGAAAGGTTGTAATAAAGTAAAATATATAGTGGGAAATAAAAAGAGCCTTATTCATTTTAAATTAATCTTTTTCACCAAAAATCCTAAATTAGACTAAAATTCTTAGTTTATAAAATAATTAGGTTTTTAATTGCTCTTAGCTATGCCAGACAAAATATGAATGATAAAAAATCATAATTTTTTCTAAGATGAAATTTCAATAATGCATACGGTAACCCATTTAAAGTGATAGTTTTTAAACAAAGATTATAAATTAAAATAGGGCAAAATTATTTTTAAAAGCTAAATCTATTTAGTAATAAATTTGTATTTTCACAAATTTACTTGCGAAAACGTAATAACAACATTTGTTTACATACAGTTATTTACTTCAATATATTCATTATGATGACAGTAAAGTATAGGAAAACATTTGAAAGTGCAAATATAAGAGCTGAATTGAGAAGTTGTAAAAAATGTTCACTAACAAATACCTGGTACGGCCAAGAAAATAACTAATACCGATTCATGGAGCATTTTGTCACAACATAGAACAAAATATTTAATAGAAAATAACACATACAAAGCATTTGATTAGATGTTTTATTTAATAGTTGTTTTTGATGAGGTCAGTATTTTCAAAACAAATTTCCATACTCTTCCATTTTTCTGAGGTTTCAAGGAAATAATTTTTCCAGGAATATATAGTATTCCAGAAGTTGCCAAATCTAATCTTCATTGTATGCCTAGTATTATTCAACAATTAGTTTCCGATGAAGTATTACTAACTAACAAGAAATAAAAGTGTATTAAGAAACAAAAATGGTTATTCATTTATTTCATAACATTTAAACAATATTTTTTTCTGTCAATAATCTCTGTTTATTCATATTTTGTACTTCTTTTTATTTATTTTTTTTTGTTATGATTTAGGAAATCATATTATTAAAATTATTCCCTTTTTACCAAACTAGTTGGATGAACACAGAAAAAATAAATGGCGCCCAATACTCTATGTGGCTATGTCAAGAAAAAGACTGGGGACTTCTGTAGTATTCTTATAGCCCAAGTAGGACTTAACAATTAGACCTTATATTTATATTATATCGTATAAAATATATACTTAAACTTTATAATAAATAATTTTAAATAAGCCATCTAGTCTCCACTATTAGTTTAAAATTATTTTTTATTTAAGTAATAGATGGTAGTAAACATTACTATGAGGTATTTTAACTTATCTATTTTCTCATTTATAAGAAAAATAATTTTTTTCTCATTAACTTAAAATTACCCAAGTGTAATTTAACTTAATATATTATAAAAATATATTAAATACAAACCTGCAGGAGGGAGTTTGGTTCTGATTGGAATTAAATCTGGTAAAATCCATCTCTGCAAGTCATCATCCCACCGGGCTTCTGACTTAATTGCTTCAATATTACTTTAAAAAAATAAATAAATGAGTATTTAGAATACTTTTAAATTATTATTGTACTGTTTCAATCTTTATCTCAAATGTTTTTGAACTAATAATTTTTATAAAATCAAAAGATTTTTATCTCTAGAAATTAAAATATGCTCTAGTACAGTGGTCGGCAAAGTGCGGCTCCAGAGCCGCATGTGCCTCTTTTGCTCTTAAGTGCGGCTCTGGCACAAATATCCACGGATATTTGTATTTATGAAAATAAATAATATTTTCAATAAAAAAAAAAAACTTGGTAAGAAAATAATTACATCTTATTTTGATCAATTAAAATTCTTCTATGAACCGAGAACATGTATAATTTTTTGTTTAAGTTAAAAGATAGATAGGTAATTGAAATTTTATATAGTTGTAAAAATATGTAACGAACATTGAATGTAATTTTATTAGTTTTCGTAAACATAAACACAAACCATGTACAAGTCTTATTGATGAGAACTTGGAACCATGCCTAAAATTAAAAATAACAACATACAAACCTGAACTCAAATTTTCCAAGGAGATGTAAGCACATTGTTTGCATTAATAAATATTTATTAAGTATGAAATTTAGTTTTATTTAGTGTAATAAAAGTTTACTAAACAAGCAGATTTGGCTCCCAATTTTGTTTAAAATTGAAGTAATGTTCATATTTGACTCTGTGGCTAATAAGTTTGCCGTCCACTGCTCTAGTAAAACTACACTTACAAGGAGAGGATAAAGATTGTAGGTCACCGATTTCAACCAATTTTTTCTTTTTTTTTTGGTGAAACTATATTGAATTATAATGCACACATATCCCAGCATTCTTTCCAATAGGCCCTAGGAGCCGAGAAAAATAATATTTTATATAATTTCTAACAAAACTTATGTTATTTCTTTTTGTCTTTGCTTTGCCCAGACAAAGCAAAGCAATCAATCATTTTTTTTTTATGCAGAATAAGAAAAAAATATTAACTATTGTATTAAGTGAAATGTAAATAGCTTTTATTAAACAAAAACAAAGAAAAAGGTAATAGTTATATAAATATAAATAATATATATAGTAGCTCTTTGGTAAACAGTTTATTTAACTGTATGTTCTATTACTTTGATAATGTTTCGTACTAGCCTTCCTCTGTTTTTTAATAGGAGTAATGGTCTTACACTTCCTAAGGTAACCAACCCTGCTGGGAAGTGTGGTTCGCTATTTGATTCCATATTTCCCACCATAAATTTTTGTTCTTTGCTGTCCTCCACTATGTTGGGTCTGCCTCTTTTTTGAAGTAGCCACTCCATCTTTTCGGTTGTCTTCCTCTGGCTGTTGCCATATGGTCTCCATTTCGTTACAATATATGACCATCTGTCATCAGAGAATTTTAACAGATGTCCTGCCCTTTTCCATTTTAATTTTTTTATTATCATGGAAGGATCTCTGTGCCCTGTTTTCTTCTGGATATCAATACATTTTATTTTATCTTTTGTTTGGATGTTTATCATAATTCTCTCTACAGACAACAGATAGAAAAGGAAAATCCTTCCCTTTGGAAAAAGGTGTGAGACAAGGACAAGGAGACCTTGTCTCCTTGTCTCTCCAATTTTGGTCCTAGAGTTAGTTTTCTGGAACATGGATTGGGAAGGAAAAGGAATAAAAGTAGACTGAAGGTGGTTAAAAAATTAGTTATAATGTATCATAAATTACAAAAACCAAGGTGCTCCCAGTAAATTAGGCCAAATAAATTTTTGTTACAAAAAAGTTAATTAGATTCCTTTTTAGGGCCCTTTAAAACTCTTAAATAAAAATTGTTATATAAATAAAAAAATACGACCTTTAGTACTTGATTTTCTTGGACGAGTTTTTTTCTAGCTAAAGCATTCATAATTCCTCAGGATTTTCTTCAAATTCAACTTTACTATAACCTTTGGAAAGCTGAATTAAAGTTTTTCCAACTTACACCGATAACTTTTGGATTTCATTTTTTTTTTTCAAGCTAGAAATTAAGAAAAATTTCTGACCCGTTTTTATTTTATATCTTTAATTTTAATTTATCTGCAAAGATCGATCTTTTTTTCTTATTCTGCACAAACAAAGAAATCGATTGATAATAATTTAAAAATATGGATAAAGCAAAGGCAAAAATAAATAACATAAATTTTGTTAGAAGTTATATAAACTATTTTTTTCTCAACTCCTAGCGCCCATTGGAACGAACAGCAGGATATATATCTAATATTTTTCGATGTAGTATCACCAAAAAAAATTTGATTGAAATCGGTGACCCATAGACTGTATCCTCTCCTTGTTAGTCCTAATTGGGATGAAGACATAGTTTATTTTGCATGAAAACTGGTTAATCCGAAGTGTATAAAATAAAATAAAATCCAGCATCAATTTAACAAAACAAAAAAAAAAATTCTTAACATATAGTAGTTTCATCTTTGTTGGGACCTTTATTAAGTTTGATATTTGAAATAATTAATTTATTAAATCTACACATAAATAAAAACATCAAAAAGTTATAGTTTATTTAAGCCCAGTAATCTCCACAGTACAATTTTCAAATAGAGATCTGTTTAGTATATTTTGATGATCATACAGAATATACATAGCACAGAAGATTTATGAATCATTCCAAATGATAAAATTTCTATTTTAAGATTTAATTCTTTCCTTTAACCATCTCTTAATTTTCTTTTCATTTTTACCTTACTTCTAAACCATTTTCTTGCATCTTTTATTCAATAACTATATTGTTTCCCTTCTGACCTAACAGAAGCAAACAGGATCTGATATTCAAGATGAGGAAAATATCCGAGAAGGTTATGTAAAAGAGCACAGAGGTCTTCGCTTGTTTTTTAAACGTAAATAAAGCATTTGACAGTGCAGAAAGCAGGCATCTCAAGAGCATTGGAAGAATTTGGTGTTCATATAGGATTGAGAGAAGCCATCCTAAGTCTGCATGAAATCCAGAAAAATGTTGTCAGGATGAGCAACCATACTTTAAAGAAATTCTCAATAGATCAAGGAATCAGACAGGGATGCAGCCTTGTCCCCCTCATGTTTATCCTGGTGCTGGACTCTGTCCTAAAATAAGCAAAACAGAAAATGAGGCCATACCAGCTCGGATATAGGAACCTTCAGTACGTCCAGTATACGTTGCTTACTTTTGCTGACGATATGATGGTATTCGGAAATGACTGCCATAATCTGCAGTTTAGCCTCAAGATCCTTCAAGCGGAGCTATGCGAAACAGGGAAATTAACACCTCCAAAACCGGATTGTTCGGCTGGGTGGAATCCATCTTGAGGAAGTTATGGATTTTAAATACCTGGGTGCTCACCTCATCGATTACGGATGGGTTGATGGAGACTTAAAGGAAAGGATCAAGACGGCTGGAAAATGCTTCTACTCCCTCAAGGCAGGCTTCTTGGACAAGAAGGAAGTTTCAAAGGCTAATAAGAAGATTGTCTTCAAGAATACCTTCCTCCCTATATTAACATATGCAAGCGCGTCTTGGATCCTCACTTCCAAACACAAAAGCAAAATACAAGCTATGGAAATTCGGTATTTAAGGAAAATAGAGGGATGAAGAACAAGAGATCGCGTGAGGAATGTGACCATAAAAACAAATCTGGACCTGAGGCCTGCAGAGGAAATAATCCAAGAGAACCAACTCAGGTGGTTTGGACATGTTTCACGAATGGCTGAAAACAGAATTGCCAGGGCTACCTATGAGGTCAGAGTGGAGCGAAGACAGCCTCTTCGAAGACAGAAAACGATGGGAAGAAGGAATCAAAGAAGCCTTTGACAGGAGAGGAATGGACTGAAGGAGGAGAAGACAGCTGGCTCAGGACAGAGATTAAGTAAGTAAGTAAGTAAGTTAATAAGTATGTAACTATATTGTTTCCAAAAGAGGTGAATTACCTCATTTCATCCTTATAACTTAATATGAATATTTTCTATTTTTTTTTAAAAATTACATATGCCCATGTACGTCAGCATTTAAGCTAGTATTAAATATTATTTAAAGCAAATGAAGGAATTACTTAACCAAACAAAAATACATATTTATTTATTTTTACCTGTAATTATACTGATTCTTCAAAGTAGGAATAATTTTTTCTAGAATTTGATTGTCTAGTTCTATTTGACGATTCAGCCTCCTTATAGTTTCCAAATAATCAGTCCTTTCCACTTCGAATTCACTTTGTAAGTCTGTTATTTCTCTCTCCAATGATTTAATCTATAATAATATAATGCAAAATTATATTGTGCTTTCAATATATTGTAATCCATAATAATGAGTGTTTGTTTAAGACCCCAAAACACCATATAATAACTTTACTTATGATTGCAGTTTAAAAAATCCACATCCAACATTAATCTGACATAAGTGGCTATTTTGAGTTATTAGTATTCTAAGAATTCCAGGAATATAATCTAATATTGCACATTTTTTAGCGTTAGTGGTAAACTGTTGAATATCTATTGGCATACTCAAGTTAGTGGGGTTGATGCCCTAGATGAGAATCATAAAACTCAAAAATTTCAGTGGGGTACAAGTGTCTGAGAGAAAAGAACAATTTATCAAATGATTGAACAAAATTAGTTCAAGAAGTATCAAAATAAGGCTTATCAGGACTTGGAAATCCTCTAATGAGACTTACGCAGATAGATAATTTAGGGGGATAAAATTGAATATTTGCATGAATTTTTAATTTTTATTCGTCAGTGAACATAAGGATATAAAAATAAAGACGGAAAAACTTCCAAATTCTTCTGATGCATATTTGCAATGATAATTAGCAATATCACCATTAATGAAAAATAGTGGAAAGCTATGTCATGAGGTGGAGATAAGGCTACGACATGGGCTGTCTAGGAGTATCTTGAGTTGTATATCTTACACTTTTTAGCTTAGAGTAGTTGTGATAGCTTGAAAACTTCCAACCAGAAAGTATATGTATAAATTATTAGATTAAAATGCATTTTATCAGGTTGTATATGCATATTTATAAAGTAGAACTGAGAGGTTCAATAGTATCATGTATGGAAGCCATACATGTCACACTACATTTGACACAGGCCGCATCCCCCATTCCTCACCACTACTCCCAAACGCCTGTTTTTTTTTTTCAATTTGTTTTCTAAATATAAACCTTTATTTATTATTTGGAAAGTCTAATCTCAATCTTATATAAATTCTTTATCATCAGTGGTTGGTACAGAGTATTTTTTTTTACAGGATAAGAGATTTTTCGAGTGAAGCTTAATATTTTCAGCAAGGAGGCTGTTCTTTTATCTCCTTCATGCATTATTCTGGAGTTCGCAGACCATCATTTCACAATCTTTATTAGATTGAAGACCATAATAATGTCTTCTGATTAATAGTTTCTTCGGCTTTTGAGTGAACAATTTCTCATCGTTTGTCTAGAAACTCAAGAAGATAAAGAGAAAGAGGACTGAAACTAGGAAGACCACATAAAAATTTAGTAATGCCATATAATTTAGTAAATTTCTGAAATAAATATATTTTAAAAAATAATTTTGAATCAATAATAGTAGTGATATTATTAATTACCTTATGCCTATATTTTTTCAATGTTTCACTTTTTGCTGTTAATTGATCATGCATGTCATCATACATTCCCAAGACGAGGCTGTTGTTTTCTTCTTTAGCCAATATTTCAGCTAAAGCATTCAGTTTCTTTTCTGCTGCTCGTTTTCTTCTAACTCTTTGCTCTTTTAAACCTTGATCTCCTGCTTTTTCTCCTCCAACCAATGTGCGTTGCAGTTTCACTAACCTATTGCCATTTAAATGCATATAATGCCATTAAAATATTCGTCTAAACATAGTTAACAATGGGTATTTGTAAAATATTTTTATATTAATATAAATACGTCAAAAGTATAAAAACAGAAGCAGGAATTAATAAAATGAATATTTAATATAGCAATAAATATAGTTGTTTTTGTTATTATAAACAACAATCAACTCTTTTTAATTGAAATTTAATTGCAAACCGCTATTAATTATACTAGGGTAAAAAATTATATAATGCTCTAATTATTATTTTAATTTCCACTATTCATGAATGCATAGTTTATCCCACAGTAAAGCCTTAACTTGTCAGATGTTAGATAAAGGGTACTGGAAATGTTAATACTTATGACAGAAACTGACATGAATACAAGAAGAAACTGAAGTAGTTATTACCATAGCAACCTTCATGTTAGACATACCTGTTGGGGATCTCTCCATCATTTTAATGGCGTTGCTATGGATGACTTGTGTTTTACTTGATAGAGCAAGAGAATAAAATAAAAGGTTACAAGTATTTTCTTAAAAACTGACTATTTTGTAACGGATTTTCAGTATTAGGGATTATTTTTTAAAAAATTTATTTATTTATTACTAAGACAAGAGAAAAATAAAGTAAGAAAATTTCAAAATTCGATTATTTCTTTATATACCAATTTATTTAACTTTTAGTTTGCAACATATAGAATAAACTATGCACTCCAAGATAAATGTATTTAGAAAAAAAAAAATTAATAAAAGGATATGTGGTGAAGAAACAGAGGATATAATGAAAAATTACTTCAAACATTTTTAAGCTGCAAATTAATAATTAAATAAGTTAAAAATTAAAGGAATTTAAATTCCCTCACCTGGCAAGGATTTCTTGTTGAGAAAATTTTGATTCACCATTTTTATCGAGCCTATAAAAAGAAATAATTAAAATATATACTGTTGTAGATTATCTATGCTCTTCAACTCCAAAATATTGAACTTTGAATATTGAATCAATTTTTTTTCTCAAGAAATTTAAATTTTTAATATAAGAAGCTTCTGAAAATACCCATATGAAAAATATTCAAAGAACATGATATTATTTATTAAATAATTATGGCTGATTACCACAATGATTAAGAAATATATGATTTTTACTAATCAATTTAGGTTTAACAATAGATTTTACAAAAGGATTTTCAATTGGAAAAGAATTATACGTTTTCAGTTGTGATTGACTTGTAAAAATTTTTAATGAACTGGAATTCAGCACAGTATTAATTTAGTTTACTTCATCAAACATATTATTTTTTTAGATACTGTTATTTATACATACATATATATTAAGTTATTGATACATAGATACATATTACTGTTTTTTATATTATACCTGTCTATTTCAGCTTCTTTATTATTTCCTTCTTCCTTACGTTCCGTTCCAGCATCAACAATTGTTATTGGCTCTTGTTTGAACACAGACTGATACAATGAAATAATCAAAATTAAAATCATAAATCCATAGAATATAATTTGTACATATCAAATGATATAGTTCTCACCTTACTATTAATCTGTTGAATTTGATTTTCATATTGGTTTTTGAGAGTTTCAAATTCTGCTTGCACTTGGATTTTTGACATGTGCATCTCTGCAAATTGTGACCTTAATGCAGCCAATTCCCTTTCATATTCCAGCCGTACTTTGTCTCTTTCTTGTTGTAATAGCACCTCATCTACTATTGAACAATTGCTTATTATTAACATTATTCTAATGTTAATCAAAAGAACAATAGCAGTTTTAAAATATAATTAGCAGCAGAAAATAATAAAATCCTTTCTGAACTAAACTTTCACGCATGAACTGAGTTTATTTATCTAATAAAAAGATAAAATAAATGTTGCTACTCGGGACTAGGAGATTATTTATAATTTCTTCCTTTATTAACAAAACTAGTTATCATTCTTAATAAAAGCATGAAAATTTTTTTAAAAAGTATTCGACGATTTTTTCTCTACATTGGAATAACATTAGAGACTAAATATTTCTACATAATTAGTTTATTAATGAAACTTTCAAAAATTAAATTAACATAAATTTTATTAATTTAAGAACAGTTAATTAAGAAATTTTTGGGCCTATTTTTCATTTCGAAATACATAAACAAATACAAATTTCTTTATCAATATTAAAAAACTTTTATTGAATTATATCACATATATTTTTAAACATTTCTTTATTATGTTATTACTATCTATTTAAATTTTTGTAAAATTATTTATCAGTATCCTCCCATTTAGAAACTGATTTTTCTTTTTGTCGGTCAAGATTTTTATTGACGGTTATTTCTTTCTTTCTTATTTTATATATAGATGACCATTTAACAACCTGGATCTGCACTATTTTTCAAAAATTTCATGGTATATCACATATCTTAAACAGTTGGTAACAAACTAAATTTTTGTAGCAGCAGGTCCACAGAGAAGAGGATAGGACCCGTTCCTCACTATTTTAAATAGTATTAAGCTATTTTGTCTTCCAAAATAAATAAAATGTTGTAAAATAAAAGTGTTTTGTTATTATTACATTATTTTTTTGTCTATTTCAATTTCCATAAATATAAATAAAAAAGTAGGTATTATTAGTGCTCAGGTTATAAACAATGGCAAATAGCAGTCCATGGTGACCAGCTAACTTACATGTACTGAGATTTGTATAAGAATCTCACCCCTCTGTTTATATAATATACATATTGTATATAAAATGAGTAACCAATTTAAATTTGAAAAAAAAGATTGTTGTTTAGCAGATGTTATACAAAATTTCATTTAAGGTGGACTGACTATTTATCTGGAATTTAAATATAGACTAATATTTTAAGAACACAAGAAAAGTGAATAATAAATTTAAAATGAGAAGATGTGGGAGAAAAATGTGTGAGCTTATATTTTAATTTTAATTTGAAGTGGAATAAATTTAAAAAAGAAAAATTGAATATTTAATTGTTGACCGTTGCATTATTAAGGTAGGAGATGGTCTGGAGAACTTCTGCAATTCTCTATATCTTTTTGTATTTTGTCTGTTTTAGCCCTGAAGAAGACCTGTAAAATCGGGTCAAAACGTTTGCTTTTAATAAAATAGTTTTGCCGCTATTTAGTCTATTTATGACCGTCACCCTGGACCATCTCCTTCCTTAAAAGCACTGTGTTTTATGGTGCACTATATTTTTATTTTTTTAAGGAAGACATGTTTTTATTTGTTTACAGATTATAATGTATAATATTTTCCCATGATCAAGGGATGCCTCATTCTTATAATTTAGCATCTTTGATTTGGTTAATGAATTTTAAACATAATACATTAATGAAATATATACAACATAATTTTAAGCTAAGTCTGTTGGAAAAATTTGAAACTCTACTCAATAAAAAATGATAATAATAATTATTATTATAATGTATCAATCTGTAATCTAGGCTATGCTAGAAACTGTTGTATGTATCATTTGACATTTATTTGACTTTAAAATTTAATTTAATTTTTCATATTATTAAGAAAACAAACAGATTGATTGTATTTAATGTTTGAAATAAAACTTTAAGCACAATTAATAGCCTGAAAAATTAACTTTGCAATATACCACGTCGTTGGATTACTCGAATTCATTAACATCCTGCCTTATTTATTTAAAGTAAACGTTTCAAATGAATATTATCATTCAAAACAAAAAGGATATTAGACACAATTTTTATATTCTTTAATTAAGATAAATCAGAAATATTTATATCACTTTTAAATATTTGAAAGAACTAAATGTACTGAGATTAAAAAATGTGTTAATAATTTAATTTTACTTTTTATTTTGTAATTATTATTTTTGTAATTTAAAAACAGATTCATTATCTTCAAAGTAAAGAATGAATATTGTAAAATATAATTTTACGAATAAAGTACAAACTACTTACCAACTGCTGTCATTTTAGGTGTTGTGAGCATCGATTTCAGTTTCTCTATTTCTTCTTGATACTTCCTTAGCATGGCATCTTTTGGATCTTCATTTATCTGAGGCTTATTACAAATATTTTTAGCTCGATTGGCATAGCGAAGGGTTGACAATGTTTCATCATAATTATTATCTGCTGGGGAAAGACATGCTAGCATAAGTGTTTTAGTATTTCCTCCAAGGGAATCCTGTAAAAAAAAAGTTGTGAAAATTGCTTCTTTTTGTATGAATCATTTTTTAAAGAATTACACATCTGCTGCTTAAAATGATCTAGAATAATTTTTGATTGGAAAAACAACAGGATGCTGAGAAATATTCTTGTGCTTATTATTAAATTCAGATCATCGTTTCATGAATTTAAGTCTAATTAAAATTTTTAAGAAGCTTTTACAAAAATGAAACATGATATAATCATAATTCAACTGGTATTATCAAAGACTTTTTGACATGATTTAGTTAATGGAATGGGACTTTTATAATCGATGCTGTACTGTCAGTTATAATTTATATTTTAAATTGAATTACTTAGATAGGGTTGAAATGAAACAAGTGGACATTGCAGCTGGAAATGCTTTGGGTTATGAATTATTTTACATCAGAAGAGATGAACTACCAGAAAATAAAATCTGGCTGATTAAAAATAAACACGAGCTCAGGAAATAGAATGCTTGGGACTATTAGTACTGGATTATTGCTACCAGATCTGCTGGCTTCCAGAAGAAAAATGAATAAAGAAAAAATAATCTGCAGGCTATATATTCAAATAAATGGAAATGATTAAAGGAATTTTGATCATGCCTTTACCATTAAATTCTCTGTTTTTTAAATTTAATTAATTATATTACAAAATGGAAGGTTTCCTAATATTTAAAAATAATTTCAATTAAGATACAAGTTCTGCTAATAATATTATTTAAATCTTGAAATACCTGAAGAAGTCTTGTAAGTTTAGAATCTCTGTAGGGTATATGTTTTGCTTTACCGTCAACTAAGGCTGATATCACATTCCCAAGAGCAGAAAGTGACAAATTTATTTTGCTTGCTTCCTTTAATCTATCTCCCATCGCACCTATAAAAAATATACCTCAAAGAAACTTGAATTTATTATATTAATATATTATGGAAATTATATTGGATAATTATATATTGGAAATAACCATTGTCATGAATGACAGGAAGTATAGCCATTTATATTTTATTGATCAAATCATATATTAATGAAAAATATATTGACTTTATATATTATGTATCAAACAATTCCTGAAAGCTAATAATCTCTTATTACTTGAATTTGATAAATATGAATATCTTTACTTGTTTATTAATACTTTCATTAATTATTTGAATACTGGTATTAGTTCTGAGGGAGTGGGGTAGCTCAGTGGGTGAGTACTGACTTCCAGAGCTCAAGATCAGAAGACAAAATGCATGTGCATTGGAAGAAAACCTCATAGGGCTCAACTCAATGAAAATATTGACGAGGAGGTAAGGCAGAGAATAGGATCTTCCAAGAATGTTCGGCTCGGTTAGGAAAGGCTTCCTGAACCGAAAAGAGGTGACCATGGAAACCACCATGGTATTAGTTCTGAGGGAGTGGGGTACTCAGTGGGTGAGTACTGACTTCCAGAGCTCAAGATCAGAAGACAAAATGCATGTGCATTGGAAGAAAACCTCATAGGGCTCAACTCAATGAAAATATTGACGAGGAGGTAAGGCAGAGAATAGGATCTTCCAAGAATGTTCGGCTCGGTTAGGAAAGGCTTCCTGAACCGAAAAGAGGTGACCATGGAAACGAAGATGATGGTCTACAGATCAGTATTCCTTCATATACTGACGTATTCTGCCGAGTCCTGGACACTTACTTCGAAACACAGGAGCCATATCCAAGCTCTAGAGATGCGATACCCGTGAAAGGTGGAGGAAAAGACTAGACGAGACAAAATTCGCAACACTACAATCCGGGCCAATCTCGATGCAAAAGCGGCCAAAACCATAACAGAAGAAGATAAGTTGAGATGGTTTGGGCACCTTCTCGGTATGGTTCTTAACAGAGTCGCAAGGAAGACGTATGAGACTCGCGTGCAGGGTAGGAGACCGAGAGGAAGACCCAGAATCACCTGGGAAGAAGCCGTGCTAGATGCATTCCAGAAGCGAAGTTTAGAATGGAACAGGAGACGAGATCTGGTACTGGAAAGGTCCACCTGGTCCAAGCTCTACAAGAATCTACCTCACACTGTATAGGCGGTAAAGAGGAACATGATTATGATGATGATGATGAACTGTTGTTAATGTTACATATATTATATAATAATCATATATTATCTTCACATATTATATAATCATCATGTATTATCTTTACATGATATTTTTGTTGCATACATTATATCTTTATAATTTAAGACTCTCCTTAAATCCAAATCCTACCTTCCTCCTTTAGTCATAAATTTCATTCAAATCCTACAATAAAAATCTAGGGATCACCATTGACGAAAACTTCTTCTGGAAACCCTATATTGTCCTCATCTCCCAAAGGTCAATAGATACGCTTAAGTTATTTAATCGCTTCCTTCATCTACTTCCACAATCTATCCGTAAGCTCCTTGTATCCTCTCTTATTTTCCCCTACTTTGACTACAGTTCAGTGTTGTACATTGGCATCCCGATTGTATTAGAGTACAGATTGAAGTGATTGATGAACTGGTTGTTAAGATTTGTCTTCGGTACCTCGAGAAGGTCTCATGCTTTCCACCTTTACGATGGGTTAAAGTGGTTCTTCCGTTCTTTCTGCTGACAATATTTCCTTGACTCTTACCTATTTTGATCAACTTCCGAAACTTTTTCTACATCTACAGTCTCCTACAGTTCAAACCCGTAGCCCACATCCAGAAAAGAAGATCCAGTGTTTCTGACCTTTAGACCACTTCCTAGGTGTGTCCTATGGAACTAAACCGCTAGTAAAACTAAACTGACCACTCCACTACCTACTGGAATTCTCTCCCATGCCTCTTCCTTGTTCTCATTCAAATACTGTCTTTACCAATTCGTTCTCACCTCCCAAATAGACACTGTACAATCAAATTTGGATTGGAGAGAACGGTTGTTTAAATTAAGTTTTAATATTAAGAATCCTTGTAAGGTTTATAACAATATTTTATTTTTCCTGATTTCAGTTTTCTTCTTTTTCATTTCAATTATGTTTATTCTCTTAATGTTTTTACTTTCTGTAGTTTATGTATTGTCACTGAAGATATTTTATATATTTTTAAATTTTTACTATTGTATTTTTTGGCCTACATATGTATTTTGTTCATAATTGTTATTATTAAGCGATCTCGTCCCAGAATAAAGTTTATTTTCTAGCTATCTATCTACCTAAATTATGAGGTAGGATTTTAGTGGTAAACTTAATAACTAATGGGGGCATAAAAAAAAATATTCCTGGGTCTCTTTTTTTCTCTCATCAGCCTTTAGTGGAGATAGATAACAGTAAAGTATTTGATAATGAACTTCAAAAGTTCCATCTCAACTGACAAGGACCCTATGTAAGACCAACCTTCAACTGAAAATGATCTGGTTTATCTATTTCTAGTGGCATCATAGCCAGCAGAAATAGATTGTTATGACCTAATTAAAGCAGTAATAATTTTAACCACCACCAATAATCTCAATGAAAAGGATGGTCATGTAGTGATATTTTTGTAACTTAAAAATGAAAAATTGCTTCAGATCTACTTTCAGACAGGATTCAGAACCTTTCAGGATTTCATTTACATTACGATTTTGTGACCAACCAGTACATTGGAGAGTACTTCAGAATTGATACCACCTATCATCATACGACTTAGTACCATTAGAATCCAATAAAGTATTTGAGTTTTTATGCTAAAATATATAATAACTAACAATAATGGTCAAAACCTTGTGAATTTAATATCATAATACCATGGAATTTTTTTTCTAGAAAAAGTGAAAAATTAACTTGCCTGTTTTCGTTTGCCTCTCACTTCCTGCTAAATCAACCAAACTCAACTTCCCTTTTCTCACTAAACCATCGATGTCTCCAGATCCAGTCGTCATCATTTCAATACTTATACTAAATATAGAGTGACTTCTTGAAGAATCTGCATTCATCAGCGTTGCACCTGTTGATCGGTTGGACCATCCCTTACTCATCAAATTTTCACAATCTGCTACGGACCCAGCGGCATGCCAAGTCAAATCTGAAAACATTTAATCAATATTATGTATTTATGCAATATGTATGAACAAAGTATTTGGTGATGGAATAATATTTATTAGATCTATTATTTTAAACCTGTGAAAATTGTATTAATACAGGAAAACATACCTTGAACATAAACTCCTCTATCAGCGCTCTCTTTTAGATCTAGTTTCTTTTTTATATCTGGACCTAATAGATCACGTATTTCTTCATTGTATATCTCCAGATAGGATGCTAATACAAGATATTTAACATCTGGGGTCACAGCAATGGCTTCAAAAATATGTTCGAAAGATCGTGGTATTATCCCTCTCTGAGAAGGTGGCTCTGGAATTCCTTGCATCGAAAAACTTTTGCCACACCCTGTTTGTCCATACGCGAAAACAGTTCCATTGTATCCTTCAAGAACTCCCTAAAAAGTATTGTATTGTTTTTTTTTTAATATGTAAGTTAACTAATAAAATTGTAATAAAATATTCAATACTTTACCTCAATGAGAGGATAAACACTTTCGTTATAAATCTGCTCAGTTGTTGAATTGATGCAATAAACACCATCGAAGGAAAATGTTTTGGGAGGGGCAGAACTGTCATCCGGGTTCATGATAGAGCATGATCCTCCCTCCGAGTCCAATACCACCACGCTCTAAACAAAAAACAAAGATTAAAAGAAAATCTTCACTAATATATCTCATTAAACATTATTTATTTGATTTTATTTCGAGTCTTGTACTACTTATACATAACCTACAAAAAATATTACAGAAATAACTCTGACCATCCTAAGAGTGTACTTGAACATATCCTTAAACACCTAGATTATTTGTTAACACTAGTGGAGAGCCACAGAAGCCACGCGCCACCCTCCCCTCTCTCAGGAAGGTGGGAAAAAATTTATCTTGAAAAAGTAACTAAACAACCGGCCTTTTGATTATTATTTCAATTGAAAAGTGAATTGTATCAAACAAATAATTTTTATTTATAATTTATACTCAAATAAAACGAATACTAATTTAAAAAGTCTAGATATTTATTCTAAAAATTCTTCATTTATTGATGAAATATCTGAATATTGTAGCTGAAAGTAGTTGCTAGAGTGCTCTGATCCCTTAGAAATTCTTTTTAATTGAATTTGTGAAAAAAATGCACACATGTCGTGTTTTAGGTTCATATACGTCAATTATTCAGTTGAGGAATTTTGACTGTCGTTTTATGGCTTCAATAATTCTTTTTTTTTTTTTTTTTAAATCACTTTATTATCATAACATCCTGATTCCATGTTCTCCTTTTTCTACAGTGGCAAAACATTTAAAGGAATTTTTAATTTGTTAATTTTTTAAAAATAACTTTGATTTTTATAAATAATATTCTGAATTTATTTTCGATCATTATTCGGAAGAGGAAAATAGCACCTTCTGCCCCTAGCGATGCTTCTGCATGAGCGTTTATTTATTTATCCGGTCATTCACAGAGCATTATCGATTTCCTAACATCCGCTCGTTATCCCTGATAATATATTCGTCGCAAAACAAGTATTGAGAGGGGAGGGGGCATATTGAATTAATAACTTACTTATAAGCTGGAACAAAACGGAAGCTTTTCATTATGTAAAAATGTCAACATCTAAAATTTAAAAAATCTGGTACGATGTATCGCACGAATTTGACTTATCATATTTACCACCCTTCTGTCAGTAGAAAATATTTATTTATTTTTTAAGTTAACGAAGCTTAAGAATACAACATTTATTATAAATACAAATTTAAGAAAAATAATTTAAATTTAGATAAATGTGTGCACTGTATATTTTTCGTTTATCAAGCTGAAAAACAAATAAATGAATAAAAATGGGTCGTTTATTTCCAAATTGAACCCTAACCAATATTAATTTTTTCTAGAAAATCAAGAAAACAATGTTTTCTATTCCATTTGTAATATCATTTTTTTTAAATTTTATAAATAAAATGTGGTTTTAAGTAATTATGTTTATTAAAAAACATCTCATATCCCGTAAACACAAGAAATAAAAGCTGTGCAACATTTAGTTGTAGTCATTTTTGCTGAAAATACGAGCATTACTAGGTGACTAGATAGGTAATCACATCGTTTCTTTACACAAGTTGTTGTGAATCCTAAAATATTTCCTCATAAACCTTCACTTAATTAGCACGGACTCAACACTTATTAAATGAGAAAGTTTTTGTAAAAGTTGGGTTAATATAGTACAGTTGGAGAGCGATAAAAAAAAACAAATAATGTATGCCTTTTTTTTTAAACTGACCTTCGCTGTGTTTGTCCGCTCAATAGTCCCCTTTAAATAGTTTCAACAATGACAAACTCTACTTTCATTTAAATTAAATTTTGTCTTGTCAAAATCAAATATTTTTCAATTTTTCGCTTCCTATTCAATAAAATACGTGACTCCCATAAAAAAAAAAAAAAAAATCTTAAATTTTATACTTTTCTGTTGAAAATTGGGCAATTGTTTACATGAACGTTTTTATAGATCTTGATGTCTACTACCTACTTTTTAAATATTTTCCTCTGCCCACGTGACACCATGTATATCTGCCTCGGAGGTAAAGGAAACCATGTCTATTTTTTTATTAAATAATTTAGTAATTATGGAACAAAGGTTAATAATCCAAAGTCGTGGAAAATATGCTCCCCGAACAAATACAAAAATCTCATGCGCTCGGCACACAACTTTCACTTATTGCTATGTTTTGAATAGAAATTATTTTCTGGCATTGTTGGGCTATTATAAAATTTTTGAAGTGCAGTTTAAACGGAGCTAAAGCTTATAGATGAAATCAAATTGAGACCATTAAAATTACAAAAAGTCCATTTACTATATCGATGGTAGGCAATAAAAATATAGTTACTTCATTTCCTTTTATAAACCTCATAACTTCAGTCATTGAACATTTCAGTTGATAGAATGACTAACGCAAATTAAGTAGATTCCAGAGAAGGTGATAGCAGTGTTGAAACAAAAACTGAGAATAAAGGTATAAATTTAGCTACTAGCGCTTCCGGTTAGCCTTTTCAGGAAAAATTTGCGGCCACATCTACTTATATTTACAAGGCATATACTTATTTTAAATACGTAATATTAGTTTCATACGACTTTTCGTTTTTGAGCTAGACTGCTAACATACACACCGACACACACTCACGGATGTGGAGACACACGGGTCCATTTTGCGTGACTTGGTTATTTGGACTCAAGGTACCTGAAAACGTGCATTTTATTTGAAAACTCAGATTCGAGTTTGAACAATTTTCAATACTTTCTCTTACTGTATATTACATATATATAGATAAGTGAAAGTAAAAATTAAAGATAATGTAGATGATGAAAATTCGGCATTTAAACCAAATAAGCCTATTTCAATAATATTAATAACTATATGAAATTGAAGATCATTCAATTTAACATCGTCAACGCAAGTTTCATCAAAATCATTAAATCCGTTTTTGGTAAAATTATAAAAATGTGTAAAATCGATGGTATTTCCGGTTAGTCAATTTTGACGAAAAAGTTACTATGATTCAAGGTCTCGAAATATATTTTGGTTGAAAACTTGGATTCAAAATTTTTCTCTATCAAAATACTTTTCCTCAATATATTTTCATTTAACATTATCTGTCAATTTAAGCAGGAAAAAGTTGAACATATTTGACAAAAATACTGTTCTTCTATAAAGGACAACACTAGAGGTGAGTATAAATAACCAGAATTTATTATCTCTTTTGACAGTAACATAAGTAATAACAGTTTATAACATAAAGTGCCTGGGCAAGTCTGAATAATTTAAATCTAAACGCGACTAAAACTCCAGCCATTATTATAGGTTCTAATTCTATTCTTAAATCCACCTCCTTCCTTCCTCCTTTAGTCATCAAGGATCATCCTATCACATTCAGCTCCTCCGTTAAAAACCTAGGAATCACCATAGACGAAAACCTCTCCTGAAAATCCCATATCGCCCTCATCTCCCGTAAGTCAATAGGTACCCTTAAGCTATTTCATCGCTCTCGCCACCTACTCCCACAACCCATCCGCAAGCTCCTTGCATCCTCTCTCATTTTCCCCCACTTTGACTACGTTTGTGTGGTGTACGGAGGCATCCCGATGGTTAGATTGAGGCGACTCATGAATACCTGCTTAAGATTTGTCTTCGGTACATCGAGGCGGTCTCATGTGTCCCACCTTTACGAAGAGTTAAAGTGGCTCTTCCCTTCTTTCCGCAGACAATATTTCCTTGGTTCTTTCCTATTCCAAACGATCAAGACCCGACACCCTTCCTACATCTACAGTCTCCTACAGTTTAAACCCGTGGTCCACTCCCAGAAAACAAGATCCCGTGTTTCCGATCTTTATATCCCTTCCCATAGAACTAAGACGTTTGAATATTCCTTTATTGCCCGATCCACTGTGTTCTGGAATTCCTTGCCTTCTGAAATCCGCCATGCCTCTTCCTTGTTCTCATCTAAATATCATCCAATTCCTTTACTAATTCCTTCTCACATCCCAAAATGACGTTATACAATAAAATGAATATTGCGAAACAGATTTTGACTGAGGTGAATGGTTGTAAAAATTAATAGAGTTTTTAATTTAAAAAAACAACCCATGTTTATTTTATTTTGTTCTCTTTTCATTTAAATAATGTTTTTTTTTATTTTGTTTTCTTTTCAAAATGGTGTTATTTTTACTTGTTTTAATTTAATATAACCTTGTCCCAGAATAAAGTTTACTTTCTATCTATCTATCTATCTAAAGGAAATTAAGTCGACTAGAAATTGAATTTTCCAAAAAAGTGCAAATTTATTTTAAATGGTTTTTTAATAAATCCCAAATATTTAATTGAAACCACTCTCAGTTTTATAGTTAATTTTTAACTAAAAATAAATAAATGAATTGATTTACATTGACTTTTGTTCAACTACCTTATATAAAATAGACAGCCCACTACGTGGCAGAGAACGGCGCTATGGTTATACAGTTCTCGCACAACGCAATAACCGTTTTGTTCCTTATTTAACTCAACTTTAATTTTTTTTTTATAGTATATTCATTCATTACTATAATAGTACACATAAAATAGGTTTTCAAATTTCAACTCAAAAGCACTACCTGGGGATGCAGGTCCATGCTCTAATTTTAGGGTAGTTGGAACGAAAGTGTGAATTATTAATAATTACTAATTAAAGCTATTAGTCCGTAATATAAAATCCTTTTTTAATAATCCGTGATTGGCTTCATCTTATCGTAACCTATACAATTTTTATCAACGAAAATTCTCATGGGGCGTTTTCTCATTAAATTAATTAATCTAATGAGGTACTAAAATCTCATAAATACCCAATTGCTTTCCTCTTGAATCATTAGATAATTTGATCAAAAAACGAGAAAAGAGGTGGTATACAAAGATATTGGGCCGTTTGATGTAACCTCCACTCTAACAATCAAAATAACGACGTTATATTTTGATTGTTTACCAAACGGTACAATATTTTTGTAGGCCACTTTTTTTCTCGATTTTGTCATCAAATTATCTTATGTTTCAAGTGGTACGCAAAGGAGTATTTATGATTTTTTAGTATCTCATTAATTTAATGAGAAAACACTCCACTTTT